AATTATTTGAGAATACATATTTCCAAAGGAAGAAAAAGGATTCTTTTCATTTAGTCTTCAACAGAAGAAGGTAATCCTGATGTCACATGCTGATCCAACATAGCTGGATTCTTGTGCCTCTTCCTAAAGCTAGTTCCTCAGCATTCTCCCGTTCTTGATAATGTGGGGCTGTTCCCAGCAGACATTTGTGACAGTGACAGGAAGAACTGCTAAATTCCCTCCTCCCCTACATGGAAATGCCCATGAATCCTGTTGATGTAACAGCTCAAATACTGTCTGTCAAAACATATTGTCTGTGGGTTTAGCTGGTTTTGAGATAGAATTTGCTACTAAACCAAAATTCATCTTAATAAAACCTGGTTGGTTGGTTGTCTTGAAGCCGCTCCAGGGCAAATTCCACCTAGGACAGGTGGACTGTCCATGTCTCTGAGATTCAGTGCCAAGGGGTCCTATTGTGTCCTGATAAACTCCTACCTGTGCCAGGCTCTAAGTAGATGACACCTGAGTTTGGTGGATACCAGGCTGAAAACAAAGGAGGCTTCAGTGTGACCTACTTCTGTGCCCCTATCTCTAAAAGAGACTAATGACACTTCTCAGCAGGTAGGGCGCTCAGGGTCCTCAATGCTGCTATGACCTGCTGAGATATTTACATATGTGGCTGATTCTTTCATACCAAATCACACTTTAATACCAATGTCAATGAAAATAAAAAAGTAAACTAGTAAATTCCATTAATCTGCATGGGGTAAAAGGGACTACCTCTTGTTATTACTGTGCAGATGCCACGTGTGAAAGGAAGAAAACTGTTGGACTTCACGCACAAGGCAAGTGCTTAATTCTGGCCTTGTATTTCTAGTGGCATCTTCTGTCCTGCACAAGTATTCCTCTTCTCAGGCTGGCTTATCCACTTCCTCTCTTAATTCCCCGAGAAAGAACAGCAAAAGTTTCTGCCATTAGGTTTGCACCTCTCCTTGGCAGCCAAACCAAAGTAGAATAATATGTTTCTTCTGCCAATCTCCCCTCCTGTCTGGCAGGAAGATGAAGATGGATCCTGCCACCTGATGCCTTGCAAGTGTGAGCACCAGCCTCAAGCAGCAAGTCACCCTCAGCAGCCAGCACATGTGCCAGATGCATGAGGCACAGCTTGAGTCATGGGGCTCAAACTGAGGATTATTGCTCCAAAACGGGCATATGTCAGCAGTGTTGCAGAAACCCAAGCTTCTGACGTGCTTACCTTGGAGCTGACAGTCCTGATGTGCTGGATTATGGGAATTGCTCCTTACAGCAGCTGGGGCCTGGCAGGAATGAAAACTCAGCAGGAACTGCAGGTGCCTGCACGGAGCTGGGCCAGCTCACAGCAGCCCTGTGGAGCCGGCAGCAGCAGCAAGTGCTGGCTCTAGGAGAAATTGTCCCTAATACAGTATATTTTGGGGTCTTTCTCTCCAGATTCTAAGAGGATAAAGGAAAGGCAGGAGACCCAGTCTCCACACAGGAAAATACTACTTTTACTGTGTTGGCTGTTTGTTTATTTCCATGTTTATGGACATACAAAGTTTTGTATTTTCTCCGGTGCTAAAATTTTAAAAGCTTGGACAGTTCTTGGGTCAGATATGAGAAGTTAGGGCTGATTCAGTCTTAGGTGGCCATCTCCAGAACAGTCCTGGGCTTGCCATCCTTCTCCTTTGCTGGACATCTGAAGTCAGAGTGAGGTGTCTACCAAAGTCTTTTTTGGGGATGTAATTCATCTCTGAGTTCTGCCTCAAATCCCATTCTATATGTCTGTGTCCTTTTAAGGAGAGACTGCTAAAAACTGAATGGGCTTGCTGAAAAATCCAACCTACATAGTTTCTGGTTGGTGAGCTCCATATGAACAGTCCTCCTGGCACAGGCACCAGTCCATCGTGTTGTCTCCCAGGGAAGCATTGTGATATACTACACAGGTCATGGAGACTGGTGACCAGTGACAGAACCCAAGAGAAAGGCCTGAAGTTGTGTCAGGGGAGGTTGAGGTTGGATATTAGAAAAAGGTCCTTCACCCAGAGGGTAGCTGGGCACTGGAACAGGCTCCCCAAGGCCACAGTACCAAGCCTGACAGAGTTCTAGAAGCATTCGGACAGTGCTTTCAGGCACATGATGTGACTCTCAGGGATGGTCCTGTGCAGGGCCAGGAGCTGGACTCAATGATCCTTGTGGGTCCCTTCCAACTCAGCTTATTCTGTGATTCTGTGACTTCTCAAGGACTGTAAGGAGCTATTTCTTAAGTCTGCCCGAAGGGATGGGACTGAGGGACAAAGGTACCTTCTGATCCAGCAAATCCAGATGTGTGGCCTGGCCAGCTGTGTCACTGCTCCATTCTGCCCATGCACCTGATTTCATTTCTGCATCCTGAGGCTAGGAAGAACCCAGGTCTCAGATTGATACAGAGATGGAACAAAGGCAAGATCTACCTGATCCACCAGTTTAGATATAACCTAATTTATCTTGGAGAACCGAAGTCAGGTGTGATGCATACAGTTTTCAAGGAAAAGCATTACTTCTAAGGAGAAGCTTTGCATTTAAAGCAACAAAAAGATGTTTAAAAAGATAGTGCTAATGGCTGGAAGCTCAGACACACACACACATCACTGGTCACTGTTTGCCTCTGAGAGCACAACTGTACAGGAGAGGCATGACTCAGAGCCCTGTCAGCTCTCCAGTCTGCCAGGACACCAAGGGGTTTTCAGTGGTCTGATCCTCACCCACTGTCCCCCACCTCCTCCAGCAGTCCCCAAGCAACTCTTGGCACTTGAGCTGGTCCCCAAGCTCAGGTTTACCAATAAGACTACTTATGCTGAGAACTTCATCTGCCATAAGGTGACAAGAAAAGCAGCACCAGGAGAAGAAACGGAATTTTTATCTTGCCGCTCTTCTCTTTCTCCTTTTGAATGATTTTTGGAGACTTCTTATGTCTTCAAGGAAATAAGACTGAATCAAAAAACTAGGTTCCACTCTTGCCAGCTAACTTTTCTCTCAGAATTGTCCATTCAAAAGTCATCTAAATTACTCTCAAGCCAGGAGTTTTCTCAGACATACTTAAAGCTAAAAGGATATGGAACAGTTCTTCCACTGCAAGCCTTATTTAGTCATTTATACGTGAATTTTTGAACTGTTTTCCTTTCTTTTTCTATAGCATTAGTAAGTAATATTTCACAGCACTCACTATGGTGAAAGCAGAATGGCAATAGTTTGACACAGGACCAAAAACCATTTTTAACCATCTGACACTGTTTTTATCATCTGACACTCAGCTATTCAAAATGTGCAGCATAATCCAGCATTGTGTAGCAATTAACTCTGGTGTTTTGGGTCATACTGGGAAAATTCATCAAAGCAGATTATTTCAATACCAATTTTTCATATCAGACTGGAAGGGAAAACAAGGCAGGAAGATGACAAAAGCAGAAACCATGATCTAACCTAGATTAACTTGCCTCAGTCTGTCCTGTTTCCCAAAACATCGTCTGAAAAGTTGGAGGTAGCAGAAGACCTCTATGCTTCAGGCATTTCTCCTCCCTGTCTCCAACACCACTGACTCTTACTAGTGTGAGAGCAGGTCCAGTAGGGCTAGGAGCATCAGAGGCAGTCTTCAGCAGGGTCTCTGGGACATTTCTGGGCTACCTAATTTTTGCAAAGTGGTAAGAGAGCAGATCAGAGCCTGCACTCCCACATAGTGTAACCCATCCTCTATGCTGGACTGGTATTTGGCTGTGGGGCTAGTAAAACTCAACCTCTTTAATCTAAGAATGAGATAGAGGTACTAAGTCTGAACAGCACCACAATGCAAACTGGTTCCCAGCAGACATTTCCAAACTAATTTTCAGTCAGCTGAGCCTTCGAAAATGCTGTTTTTGTCTTTCTGTACATCCAGTCATTTAAAATATTATAATAGGAGACACTTTTGGATTACAGCTCCTTTTGGAAGTGAATCAAACCTCTTTGCTATTTCAAAATAAATGCTGAATTGTTTCAAAGACATTAATAATATTATGTCCAGTGGAGATGTACTACACTTTTCAAGATGCCTAGTTTGTACTGACAACAGTTCAAATATATTTATGTTGTCCCATCAAAAACTCAGTAGTTTCAACTTTCAAGAGGATGTTTGTTAAACATCTTGGGTAAATGGAGAATTTGACTTTCTGCCCGGGACACCCTGAGAGCTGCTCCTTACGAAAAAAGGGGAGAAAAAAAGCAACTAATAGGATAATAAATCCCAACGTTTTTCTCTAAACAAGAGCTGTTTTAGTTAAACTAGTATTCACTTCATTTATAACAGCTCCCTACAGTTCTTTAGGCTATTGTATTTAATAAAAATCTCTGGACTCATCCATCATTATGCACACTTTACTGATTTCACTTTAAACATTGCTGACTAAAACTTCCATTTATCAAGCCTGTTTTGCCTAGCAGTTGTGGGCTAATTTATTTTCACTTTGAAATATTTGGTATCTTTTCATTGCAGTGAACACAGTGTTTGTCAGAGATTCACACTGAGGGGAATGATCCCTGGTGAAATCAGTGTGTCCGTCCACCACACATGAGCACAAGCTGCCATCTCCTAGGAACCACCAAAGGTGAAGGAGGAAGCCTGGGTGGGAACTGTGCTGAAGGACAGATAATGATACTTTGAGCTATACCGTGGTGAAGCAGAGATAACAGAGGCAGGGTATGGCCCCCAGGGGACACTGGAATGCACAGGGAGAGAGGGGGGAGTCTCAAATCTGGCATTCAAGTGTTGTAAGGAAGAAAACCAAGCACGGGTAGGTATCAGAGGTTTGTATTAAATTTTGAACTTTGCCAGTCACATAAAAACAGGAATTCGAAATGCAAAAGTATAAGCCAGACTTAGCTAGCCAGGCCAGCAAAGAGTAAGGAGATGTTTTGCTGAGCTAAGAGATATATTTTGAGCTCCTTCTAGCTTGAAAGATGCTGTTTCACCCATATGTGTATGTTGGGTCATTCTCCACCTTTGTCTCCACACTATGGTTTCTGCAGCACCTGAAAACATAAACTTCAGTGAGAAAATGTGAGAAAGGAAGAAACCTCAGAAAACTTCCTCCGGGTTTGTTTCATCAAAAGAACGTGGGCCAGAAAAACACGAGTGAGCAGAGCCCTGCCTTTCCTTCTTCCCAACACCCTGAGGAGAAAGTAAATGATGACCAAAACCACAGTTATACTGGAGTGGATGTAGGAGCAGGAATGTGACTTAGGCTGTACTACTGCAACAGAGTAAGGGATTAGCTTGCTTTTCTCCAGTATACTGAAGTGGTTGTGATGTACATCTTCAGCCCTTACAAGTAAAACAGTGTCTTGTTGTGTAACCTTTGCAAGTCGTGCACTGCTGGCTGAAAAGCTTCACTAATTTCATTTGACCCAGCATCGTAAAGAAAGGTCTCATTTTGTATAAGGTCGGCATTGACTGGTTTATAATTCTACATTACCCTGAAATTATTACTTCTCATAGTTTTTTCTCATACACATTTGAATTAAGTTGACTAAATCGTTTAAAACATCTTCTGAAAAACACAGGATGGTTACATATGAGAGGAAACCAGCTCAGCATTAATCAGGCTCTGCATCTCTGCTCTGTGGTTGTGTTGCTGCATTTGATGAGGAGGAGGGAGATTTGCCAGAAATCCTTTGTTAAAACCAGTAATTCTTAACAACAGCAGCAGCCACTTATCAGAATTCAGATGTACCACATTCCTCCAGAAGCTTGTTTTTCCTTTATTTTCTTTCATAAATTTCTAAGCTGACACTTGCAGGCACACCGAATGTCAAAAAGTAGTTATGAATATCCTACAAATCCCAAAAAAACCCTGGCCAGTCTTGTCGGGCTGATGTTTTCTTCTGGCTGTTGGAGTGGGGATTCCTCTGCACTACCCTTGGCTCTGAAAGTTACCCCCATCAAGGTCTCGGGCATTTAACTAGATCTTGATGTTTATCCATCCATGCAGCAACAACACAAGCATAACCCTCAGACCTGTCCTGCAGATCAGTGATATAGAGTTTGGAAAACACATCAGAGGCGGAAGGTACTCTGCACAGCTCAGGTATTACTGGGAGCCCTTCTTCACCATCATCACTTCAATAAAGCCATGACAGCAGAGAACCTGGACCCAAATATCAGCTATTTTGCAGAATTCTAATTTTACCTGTCCTTGCTGCAAGTCTGAGGACAGAGACATCTTTTCTGACACAGCATAAGAGAGGTGAAGAGAAGAAGAGAATAATACAATCATAAAATAGTTTGGGTTGGAAGAGACCTTTAAGATCATTCAGTCCAATGCCCCTGCAGTGAGCAATGACACCTAACAACCAGACTAGGATGCTCAGAGCCACATCCAGCCTGACCTTGAATGTTTCCACTTCAGCTGGGCTGTCAGTCATGTCACCACAAGAGGGGCAATGTGGAGAAAAGTCATTCTCCTTGCTCCAGTGATTTAGAATTTTAGGTATTTTTCCATGGCTCATGACTGGTTTCTGATGCATGGATGAAACAGGTAAACAAACAGGCCAACAGATGTCTGCCTTCAAAGGATGTTGCCCAACACAGTTATTTTTCCCACCTAGTATTTTTGCTGGGAAGTCTTCTCCATAGAGGAAGGAAGGCACATAGCAATTGCTGGATTTGAACAATCCAGCGGTTTGTTATGCAGGTTGTTACCCAGCCTCTGGTTAGTGGGTTCTCATAGACAGATGAATAGGACTGCAATCAGTGAGTATGGGAAAAAAATTCTATTCCAAGGAAAAGAATCCTTTCCCCTTCTCAACAACCAGATTATGCAGAGAAATGTGAAGCCCTATATTTCTAGCACAGGAGTAAATCCTGTATTAAGCACCTGGGGTTATGCCATGTATTCGTATCAGTGTGTAATCTTTAATTTTTTTTTCAAATTTCACAAATTTTGGGGCAGCAAGACCCAAAGGTTAAAGAAGCATATAATTAAAAAGCAAACATTTAGTTGGCTTGGCTTTCAATATAATACAGCAGCACACAACTATTGGTTTAACTTTTGGCAAGTTTGATGGATAATCCTTTTCTGTTTTGCTCAGCGACAAAAAAGGTAAATAGGGGTTGCCTTTTTAGCAGGTCCCATTTTAGTCTGTCTCCTTTTTTTTTTTTTTTTTAATAACCAAACAGCCACAAACCCTTAAAATCTGTCTATTCCTTTCATTTCTGCTATTCCTTTCAACTACATCAGGCATCAGGCAGAAGAAGGGGTGACCAGAAGTGAACATGAAATCCTTCACTCTTGGTTCAATCATGTTTTAATACTTCATCATTATTTTCCATTGCCCTCCTTCTATATCCCAATTTTTTTTTGACTGCCCACCTCTTCTGCCTGCTAAGGTGTACATTGGGCTGTCCACAATGGTGCTAGGATTTTATTAAGGGAGTTTTGGTGGTTGCACTTGATTTAGGAGCTTGTTGTGGGCCTGAAAAGTTTAAGGTGTTTGCCTCCAATGTGTTACTCTGCTTCTATCTGCCTTGAGTTTCATCTCCCACTGAATTGACCAATGACTGAGCATTGCAGGTTCTCCCCAGATATCAGCCAACCAACATATAACAGCGTCAGCTGCCAAGTTTACCCTTTCACATTTCCCTTTTTCCCAGGGCATTGATGAATCTGAAAAAATTGTATCAACCTGGTTTGGAAAAGTAGTTAAATACATGCTTGTTTGCTCTGTTCAGAGGGATGCTCAAATGCATGTCTGGTCCTGGGCCAATTCATACAGTGTGACTTAAGCATGTGCTCAAAAAGAAGCACGTGTTTAAATGTTCTGCTGAACAGAAATGGGATGGGTCTCAATAGCACGAACCCTTTTTGTTGTCCATCTTTCCAACGTTAAAAACGCAGCACTTCTCTTTGTTTAATTACTTCATATGCACTTCCATAGAAGTACCTCTGTTTTAATAATATAGTTGATAAATTTCCATAACAGCATCTTGAACGGGAAGTTTTCAACAATCTTTTCAAAGGAGATCTCATCTAATCTTTACTTTTTTTCTAATCTTTTACTTCTAATCTTCATTTTGACAGTGAGGCCAAAGAAATACATAGCATTCAAAGAGCTGAGCACATATGAAGCCACAAGAAAGAACCATAAACAACTGAGAACAGAAAAGGTTGTTAATGAAACCACTCATATTTATGCTTTCTAAAGATGGTGTTTTATCCTGGTTTCTAATGAATTAATTATTTGATACTGGTTTTTAAGCTCAAAAAAGCAGTACACCATTTTGGAATAATTCTGTGCATGCCAGGATGTCTTCAGATTTGCCAGAGCTGACTCAGCTGATACCTCACAGTCCTTTCTAAAGTAAAATAACCAAGGAGATAGGAAAACTACCTCTTCAAGAGGGCTCTTTCTATGGGGCTTTAGATTTTATAGAGCCCCACAATAGCTGAACTCCAATTTCTGTTTAATCCTTTGCCAACCAATGGACTTATTATTAAGAAACTCATTGATTTTTATTACCTTCTCCCAGCATATCTATGTGCTTGGAGAGTTGTTATTTCTGAAAAGACATCAGCATAAAGACAATGCTGTTGAGCGTCTTCTCACAAGAACGTCTGACTCTGTGGTTCCTATGCACACAAACGCTCCTAGTTATGCTGGTATCATCCAGGTCCTGCCTAAGGTTGATGGCTCATGTAAGTCTTCTCCGTTACGCTGGTATTGTCTTGCTTTCACCCTGTGATACAATGACAGCAATGAAAGAAAATACTTGCATACTTTAGCTAAATTCAAAAGGCAGGCTTATATGAGCCTTTTGGTCAAGCCTGGGGGAGCTCGAGCTGGAGCTGTTTATTGTGTGTGTGACTTGGATAGTTACAGATTTGTGACTACAAAATAGAAATAGTGATGTTTGTATATCGATTTTGTATGGGGGAATTCCTCCCAAAAGCCAAAAGGTCGTATTGAGAGAAGTTGCTCAGAAAAGAGGGATTTCTACATCTGGCAATATTGGATTTCATGTCTGTAAAGCAAAAACGAAATTATGCACATAACAAAACATAAACACGTTGTAAAATGCATTCAGCCCAGATTCCAAACACATTGAACACTGCATGATTTAATGATGGATAAACTCAGAAAAATATCCCAGTGGGGGGAACTACGGACTCCAAAATGACAGCTGCTATCATTTCAAAACAAGTAATTGTTTATAAATGAATATTTTTCATGATAAATTATTGAATTACATGAAAATCAGATGACTGCCTGCTGCCAAATTTGTTTTCAGTTTCACAAGACAGAATGGAATGTGCTGCAGACAGTGAGTGAAATTAAAAGCTGCTGGTCTTTTCCCACGAAGGGTTGATATTTTCCCTTAGACATTCCTCGTATCTCATAAACCTGCTAAATAGTGGTTCTGGGGAATGGGTATCTAGCTAGATATCCAAAATATTTTAGATATATAGAATTTCTGAGAATCTCTGCCTAATCTGAGCCAGTTGTAGTATAAGTTGCTATTTCATATTCATTTTATGTTGATTTCTTGATCAAACCCACAGAGCCCCAGTATCTATGAGAACATCTAGCTCTTGTAGGGAAACTACTAAGACTTTTTTTTTTAGTTCTCCTTTTTATTCTCTATAGTTTGAATTTGAATCATTTGAAAATACACTTTTCTTCATATGTTTTTGTCTTATTTAAGTTGGCAAGTCTTTGCTTTCCCCCATCTTTTGAACAGAGTGAAAATAACCTGAAGTGGTTGCTTCATCTGAATTGTATCTTGAAGTCCTCAATAGAGTGAAGCTTCCAGCACAGATAGTCTGAGTTTTTTGGAAGCAAGGCAATCAAAACTGCAGAGTCCAGATAATCATTAAGAGCATTTTTAATCTGCAAAGTCCTTCCCTCAGTCAGCTGCTCCATTCACAGGGATGAGTTAACACTGGTGGCATGAATCTCTGCTGGGAGCAAAATGTCACATGTAATCTATCATGTACCAGAGAGCCACTGGGGCAGCTGAGCTAAGTCCTGTAATTGCAGCCTTGGCATCAGATATGAATCTTATAAGACAACACAGCTGTAACACATTTCTTTACACTGCCTCACATAGCTTCCTGACTGCTGCAGCATCTGCATCTTCATTGCATCCTGCTGTCAGGTAAGCCTAAGTGAAACAAAGCCATGAGCTTCTCTGCTTCCCCAGCAGAGAAACATAATTGGTCTCCATCCCAGACTGGGCAACTTCAGGGGTAAGGCTATAATAAGAAAGTGTGCAAACATAATTTCCCTGTTAAAACCTTTCAGTTGTTCTCAGACTGTGGCTCAGAGAGCACCTAAATTGTAAATTGTACCTTTGTGGTCAAAAATCTTATTCTTATATTCTTAAAATTTGTGTATCATATGTCTTTCAAAGATTGACTTGTTTGTCTGTGCCATTTGCCAGAAAAATGACTGCCAAATTTAATTAAATTAAGTCAGTTTTAAGAAAAAAAACTTATTTTTTGTTTCTCCATTCTGACCTTGGCCTTCATATCCTCCCATACACTAAAGTTCACTTCCCTCTACTCTATTTGAAAATGGTCTAAATCACTAAGGTACTGCTGCAGACAACCTGATGAAGAATGGAAAACCAGGTCAAGTAGTAATGGGAAATAAATGGAAAGTCCACAAGCTTATTATAAGGAGATCAAAAATCCCCATCCTGACATTAGACTGGTTGTCACAGAAGCAAAAATCAAATGCATTAGAAGATTTCAGTGTACACAAGGCTGGATACAGATTTCCTCTGTCTCTAAAGGTCAAAAGCTGAGCTCTTTTAGGCACTTCTCTACCCCTCCTTTTCCCCCTTTTTCTTCTATTTCGCTCCTTTTTTTTCTACATTAAATTGCACTGAAGATCACTTTCTAAAGCATGGTCATGCTGTGAATAAATTCTGATATTATTATGCGATACAAATCTCTTCACAATTCAAGCATTCACCACTTAAATAGCTTTTCCTAGGCAAAAGCTTGTATGCGATGACCCTGCCTGTCAGTTGCTTCTAGATATGGCATTCATCTTCTTTTGATGTTTTTTGTCAGAGCCATTTGAACACACGACCTTGTTGTGAGCTTCAGATTTAGGCAAACTCACCTACTTTTGTCAGTAATGGTGGTGGGCCCCAAGCAAACAGACTCCTGCCAGACTGTGCAGCCCTGCAGTACAGGGCTGGATAAAGAGGGTTTAGTTTCTCCATTGGTATGGGAACTGAAGGACAGAAGTGGATTGAGGCTTTTAGTCATTCTGATATACAGATAAGACCCTCACAAAACCTAGTCAAGGTCATCCACCTTGTGTTATAGAGAAAAACAAAGCATCTTCAGATCCAGGGATAATCAGTCCCAAGGATAACATTAAAGCAAGTGATGACTAGCAGAAACTCCTGTTATTAAACTGTAGTGGATCAAGAGCTACAGAAGTTGTACATTTGGCATTCAGATTCTCTCACCTTTCCATGACTAGGCACGGTTCAGTCAAACCAGGTTGTGGAATGTTAGGTTGTGGTTCATCAATAGTAATGGACCAGGAATTATGACATGTTTTATGTTATCATTCATTTAAAACAGATAGTTTAGATTTCAGCCACAAGCTAAAGTTTATATATATTATATTTATTACAAACAAAAGCGACCACTTAAGAGCTATTATTTTAAATCTAAATGACGCTGTGTTTAGTATCAATTTCTTCCGGCTCTGCAACGTGCAGCCTGTGGACTCTGTCATCTTTCCCTGGAGTTCTGCTGGATACAAAGTGACAACTTCTCACAAGTTATCAGAAAAAAAGAGAAAATGTGGAGCCCTGCTCCAATGAGCTGTTTCACATTAAAAGAATTTACAATGAGCATCTGACAGAAGAAAAGCGATGGAGCTTGAGAGAGGAATATCAGGCAGTAAATCTCTTGCTATTATCCATGTTGATGAGATGGGGTGGGGAGGACAGTATTTAAAGAGAAAACACAGAAGGAAACCCAATGAATTGGTGAGTGAGCCCCTCATTTACCAAAATTAAATGGTACTTCTGAAAATCTTGCCAATGCAATTTGGTAGACAATATTGGGCCTAGAGATACAGCCTGTGCAGGGAGCAGTAGACGGCTGTGCAGAGCAAAGGGACTGTGGGTCCTTCCCTGCTCCCACCACCATCCATGGCCAATCTCCATGTCAGTCCATGCAGCTAGAGCTGCTGCTTCTCCAGTTGTTCCCATGGCTAAGCACATGCAAGTGCAGAGGATACCAAAGCATCATGTCCCCACACGCAGGCAGGGAACCATGTTTGGAGCCCTGGCACAGCTCCACAGCTGGGGCCACCACCAGCAAAGGTGTGAAATGGGACATCATGCCCCCTTCTGTCCTCTCACTGCTATCTGCCTTTCTCATAACAGAAGACCTGACTAAAAGCTTTCTGCTTACCTGCTCTTTTTCCCTCCTTGATAAAATCCAGACAGCCTGCCCTCCACAGCTGAAATAAGGGCCGTAGGTGCTAACTGGAGATGAATGGGTTACCTAGCTCCACCTCACAAATGCCTGACCAGTGAAACCAAAACCTGCCATTCTGAATTATTTTTGGTTTAATGACTTCTTTGAATGAAGGCAGAAGTGGGTTGTCCCTGCCAGTATGATAGAACTGTTGTGCTAGGCAAGTCTGAGCAGTTCTTGCCCCCTCAGTGTTCACGACATAAAGTGTAGATGAACTGCAATACAATAGGTCTCAGGACACTGCTTCAAGTGGAAATAAAGCAAGCAATTTAGAGAGTTTTCAGGTGCTTCACATTTTCATTTTCGGCTTTCTACACAAATAAAAAGGCTTAAACTATTATTCAGTCTCCACTTGAAGTATAATTTTGACATTTGGAAATCTGATTTTGTGATCAGAAACACATGTAGAATAGCATTTAGAAGTCAGCAAAGACTCCAAGCATGATTTTATTGGGAGCTTGGGTATGCCCTTCAGAGTAATTGGGATGTGGAATGTGGAAGTAGTTTTTACAGGAAAATAGGGATAAGGCCTCCTGTAGCCAGCCTCAGGCAATGGAGAGAGTAAAATATCAAGAAGAATTCACATTCAACTTGATAATAAGGTTTCCTAGCACGTTAATTAAATGAAATCTCACGTCCTCAGCCCTGTAGTTTTAAACATTTTAAGACGTTAATGTTGCACAATAGAAGCATAATTTCCCCTCCCTCCAGATGCCTATACTAATTTGATTTTCCTAACTGTTAGCTTTAAACTTTCTATGAACATGAAAACCTATCCTTTTAGCAATGTTGTTGCATTTTTCCCCTTCATACTTCCTTAACATTCACTTTGGGTACTAATTGGCAACAGTGGGTTTTAAAAATAAATTCTTAAAATGGGACAGCTTTGCTGTTTATCCTGTGCTGAGGCACTGTTTTCTGTGGTTTAAATTTGAAAGAAAACAGTGGGAAAATGGCATCCATTTGGTCTTGAGGGTCTAAGCCTTCACAGATAGCATGGAGGAGATTTAGGGAGTGAGGTAAAGCCAGAGGAAACCTCATAAATTACATCCCATCTTTCTGCTCTTTAAAGTATTGACTTAACTGGGAACAAGTTGCTAAAATTCCTTTGGGAATTGCAAGACTTGCACCTCCTTTGAGCCCTGTGCAGCGACTCGGGGTGGACTGAGAAACTGCGACCGACCAAAGGCAATTGGGTGTGTGGGCTGCGGGGTGCAGATATGTG